CCATAAAATTGAAGAGGAGCTGATCGTGGGTGGACCGTTCATTGTTGATTTTCGCTTTGGGGAGAGTCGATTTCAGACGCCCGGCACCGTCTTGCCGCTGCTTCTTCTTTAGGGGCTCACTAAAAGGGTGTAGTATTGGGACCCGGTAGGAGTGCTACGGTAATTGGTAACTTTACCTGGCTTAGAAGTGCAGTTATCGACTGTGGTTATTCCAAAAGTTCCTGTTCTCTTCAAATCGCCTGGCTGTTACCAGGGTTTTGTGCGGCTAAAGCGCCGCATAGAGGCACAATCTATAAAAAAAAACATCTTTTCCCTATGGTATCTCGAGTATGACTTGGTTGCGGCGTCTGGCCAAGATGCAGCAGCGGGTGGAAAATAATACTCTCTACTACCGTACTAGCACTTGCATATCCTGACACACTTATGAATGTTATTACCCTGGGAGTAACCTCGAAAATAGCAGACCTCCCCTCTACGTTACACCGCTAGGATCTTAATCGGGTTGTGCTTCGGAGGCAACAACTTGCGTCTAGCCGTTTCCTCTGGGGAGAATCCGTTCAACCCCTGCCACTGCCACTGATAGTACTAGTACAGTAGTCGAATGTGATGGCTAGTCGCAAATGATGCTCATAAGTACGGTAGTCTACTTGTGTGCCAAGTGAGGGAAGTTATGCTATGTGACACCCTGAAGGCGCTTCTCGGACCTTGATACCGTACCACTCCCGCCCCAATCTTTCTAGACCGAAATCTTATTATACTTGTTCATTTCACGCCATGTCCCTCCTTCTCCCCTAAACCCACCTTCTCTCGTCATTTGACCCATTTCCAAAGCCCTCTTTGTCACGGCTGGGGAAATATGCCACTCTTTAGATCTGGTGTTTGGCTTCTTGGGGCATTACTGTCCTTTACACCGGTAGTGCACGGCAGAGATGCTAATCCTACCGAAGATTTTTGCTCCTTGAGTGCGCATATGAGTAGGGCTCCCTCCAATTCGCCAAAAACGCATTCCTTCGCTTGTTTACTGACCAAAGGTCGAAGTGTGTAGTGGCCCAGAAAGATGATATGCTCTATATTGCTGGAGGATGGATGTTGTATCCTTCGCCATACACGGGTTACAATGGCCCAAGTTCGTTTACCCCCTTTGAATGGACGACCATCTCCCCTTTCCCAAAACTAACGATTCGACAACGCATTCAGATACGGTGCTTCGATCATTGAATGTGTCCAAGAGTTTCCAAACTTCTCTTGACAGTACCAATTATATTCGAACGGAAGAAGTTCCGGGCACGATACCTGGTGTACAAGATGCCGCGTTCTTCCCTACGGAATCCGGGTTTGACCTTAGTTTCGGAAGGTGGTGGCCATACAACAGTACTCTTTTTGGAACTAGGGAAGGTCCGGTGGAGGATAAGAAATGGCAATACGAGATTGCGACTCAGCGGTGGACGGATACGGGAATAACGCTAAAGAATTGGTTCTATGCGGACTCTCTAATGAGGGTATCCAGCTCTATGACAGCATGGGTCCCGTCATTGAAGAAGGGTTTTCTTTTCGGTGGTACCTTCGTCTCGGAAAACGGAACGTCGCTCAAGGTGACGGAGTTTGAGGAGCACAACGGCCTAATCACTTACGATCAGACTACCAACGCATGGACAAACGAAAGCACGCCGTTGGGAGGAATAGCTGAGGGAGGCTTGGTGCATATTACAACAGCGACGGATGAGGTCTTGATCCAGCTGGGTGGAAGGTCTGAGTGGGCTACCCGCATGGTGTGTCACTCCGTTGATTGAAGTTCTCTGCCCAAAAGTGCTGATTAGAGTCCGGCAGAGAGTATTCTCCGAGATCAACATTTATAGCACGAACCGATCAAAATGGTACACCCAACATCTACCATCCGATGCTGCGGTGCCGACTCCTCGATTCGCGTTCTGCACCGCTCTCAAGTCAGCTTCGGATGGTTCCAGCCATCACATCTACATTATGGGGGGCCTTGAAGCCAGCACTTCGGTAAATGCCAAGGGAGGCCCAACCACTACATCCGTCTGGGTTCTTTCGATCCCGAGCTTTGAGTGGGTCCAATTGCCGTTCAAGTCAAAGTCCACGGCGGCGGACCCGAAAGGGAGGATCTCACCAAAATGTCAGGCCATTGGAGAGCATTACATCTTCTACTATGGTGGGAGGAACGTCCCGAGTTTCTACACCGTCCCCACCTGCGACAAGAAGGCAAATGCTGGGTTCCTGTTCGACGTCAACACATTGACATGGACGGACGAGTATACGCCGAATGAGGGAACGTACGAAATTTCCCCGAGCATTACCGGGGTTATTGGCGGGGAGTAAGTTACCCACTCCCCGAAACATTACGGGTAATACACCAAGAAAGAATGAATACTAATCGCCCTGCAGCAAAAAGGGAGGCTCAACCAAGAAGGCGCCAGCCAAGGGCTGGAGCGACCCGGATCTTGAAACCATTATGACACTGAAGACCACCACGGCCGGGAACTCGAACATTGGGACGAACAACAACAGCAACTCCAACAACACGGGCAACAGCAACAACAGCACAAGCTCAGCCAACGACTCAAACCAACCCAAAACCAATATTGGGGCGATAGCCGGGGGTACGGTAGCGGGTGTAGCGGGTGTGGCACTTGCCTTCCTGGGTGCGATGATGCTCCGTCGATACCGTCATAGGAAGAGATCACAGCTTTCCCCAAACCCTACGAAGCCCCCACCAACCTATGCCGGGGCTCTGGAAGAGGGTAGTGGCCCGAGCGAACTCATGGCGCATAGTCTGGTGAATAGGGCGAATGGGGTGAGTGGGGTGAATGGGGTGAATGGGGGGGGCGCAGTGTACTCAGAATTACCGGCGGAGGAGGTGGCGAGGGAGATATACACTAGACATGGGAACGGGCTGGTGAAATAATAATACAAGTACGGCGATAGACGGGAAGGAAAAAGGGCCGTTAAACTATTCATTCAAACTTTTTCTTCTTCAATCATCCATTCAGCGAACCGGCTTTTCTTTAGGAGGGGAAAAAGATGCCCTTTTCACATATTTTACCCATCCACCTTTAACTCACCCTTCACTTTCTTCTATATCATACCCATCAGGCATGCACCGCACTGTACTTTTTTTTTTTCTTTCTCAATCCCCAATTTTTCTTTCTTTCTTTCTTCCTTTCTCAGGCGCGAGCGGGCAAGGGGGGGTTACCACCACATTTCCAATGACAAATCATGTTCTTCCTATATTGTACAGTACTATAAAATAAATGACATTTTAATCAATAAAAAACCACACACGTTTGAGAGAGACTACCAGCAACGAAATCCAAAACCGTATGATAAAAACTCATCCCCACCGCACGGCATATCATAGCACAGCATTCAAAACCCATCAACCATACCGGTACACGAAATCATAACCCCTAATATCACTCGTAGAGTACCACCTCCAAACCACACAACACCAGCCCGCACACACACACATACACACACACAACGCACAACGCAGTTAGTCCAACAGTTACATCACCGAAGATCCGAAAGGGACGACAAACTCGAGAGAAGCATTATCCAAAAGGCATGAACGGAAACAAGACCCACTGCTCCCCCCCAATCTTCGTAAAACGTCTATCATACCATCTCTCGAACCGGACGATACGATACTACAGTATTATACGGTACGGTAGTTTACGGTATCGTAGAGAGGGAAGGGGAGGGAAAGCAGCGTCATCCTCTTCTTCTTTAGAAGTCATGGAAATTACCCCCGTTTCAGATATGCCCCACAACCACCCTCCCCAATCGGCTTATTGCGCCTTGCGTTGCGTTGCGTTCATTACTTTATTTGGGTGCACTTTTTTTCTTCTTCGTGAATTATGGTAAAGTACTTGTAGTATTGAATTGATAACTCCCCCCCTTAACGGAGGGGATTTTCCGTGATTGATTTTTGTCCCGGTGGCTTACCGCACTTGTACAGTACTAGTACTCTTTACAAGTACCATTACCCCTTACCCAGACTTTAGTTTTTTTTTTTTTTTAATCATTCACAGTACAATAAAAGTGCAGTAAGTCAAGTTAAGTTACCCCTGGTCAAAAAGAAAACACCCTGCAGCTTTGCTTGCTTTCTTCCTCAAAGGAAGAAAAGAAAAGAAAAGAAAAGAAAAAAGGGGGGAAGGTCATCTGCTTTCCGAGATTGACAAAAGTACGGTATGGTATCAACGAGATAAGTAACTTGTTCAGTTCATGGCGCTTGGGCCGATAGTCCCTGGCTCTCTATCTATCATAAAAAAAAGGTTTTTATGCACGGTCTGGTTCGGAATAATCGCATGTGATTTGATTTTGCTTTGTCTTTGTCGATGGATATACTCGTAGATAGATAGGTGGAAGAAGAGGTGACACAAATTTACTCCCTCTTTGTTTTTTTCTTTGTGCTTTTTTTTCTTTCTTTTTCTCTATGATAACCTCTCCGCTTTGTTCTGCACTTTATTGCTGTGTTTGCGGTAATGTACTGGTACAGATGGATAGATGAATAAATAAATAAGTAGGAATCTCGCACTTTTAATCGATTCATGATAGAATCATATTTCGTACCACCACTTTTTTTTTTTTTTTTTACCTGATTATCGATATCCGCACTGACTGACTTACTGACAGACTGCCCGCGCGCGGTTGCTGGTAAGTGGGTTATTATCCTACCGGTATTGTACTGTACGCATACTTCCTGATCCCACGGTGTCGACTACCGTACCGTATTATACGTACAGTACAGGACCTCGTTTGACACAGAGGCTTACAGGTATGCAAACTATTGATTAAACAAAAAAAACCCCCCCCGAAGGAGGAGATTGCTATTACACAAGCAATATATATATATAAAACAACAAAAGAAAGCTGGGCGAGGGAAGTATAACTGACATGCACTGTACTCGAGTATGATACTAGTACGATATCAGGTTCCTGCGTGCAAGTACCAGCTCGAATTTTAAGAGATAACTGGTACAGTACAACTTATATCTGTTGAATTTTAATATTCTGAGCAGCAGAGATCAACGCAAACTACATACGATAATGTCATGTGCTGCACAAAACCCAACAGACTGCTTACTTTTACTTCTATCACCCTTTGCACCAAACCTTTCAATCACAAACACGAAAACATTTTTTAGGGAGTATTGCGTTCCCATTTGAGAGTGGAGACTTTTCTTCGGCAACTAACCTAAGAATACAAACAAGGTATATTGGCAAATGAAGAAAGGAGTTGAGAAAAAGATGGGAAAGAAGGCATGCTAGTATCATAGTGAATCAGATAGCAAGAAAAGGGGGGAAACACCCAATGGGAAAAAAAAAAAATCAAATCCGAGAATGAAAGACAGAAAAAAATAAAAAATACAAGGCATCTTTGTCTCTGGCTTATCGTAAAAGGAGATGGAAAAAATCAGAAAAAAATCGAGCAACCAAGTAGACCAGATGGAAAAACAATTGGGGAAAAAAATGTGAAAACATCCTCGCAGCTCCACTAATGGTTTAAAGATAGTACATTGTCTGTCTAATATCAGCATGCGGACCTCCAGACCACATCTGTACCGCTTTCGCATAATTTGCCTTAGCTTCATCCTCGCTATTGGTGCTTTTAACGCTGCCAGAGTCGCTAGCGTTAAGAAGCCCGTAGATATAACAACGACCACGCTCACAGACCAAGTCGGCATAGTAAGCTGGTGGGCAAATGCTCACAGACTTGGTAGCACGGCCGAAAAGGTAACAGAGATTGTGGGTCTACATATATGTTAGTTGAGATTCAGAGCACTTATAAGATACATATATCTGGTGTAATAAATACCAAGGTTTGTAGTGAGTCTGCATCAAACCCATTCTTGTCGTGAATGACATAGTAGTGGGCTGGCCGAGTGGTACCCTGAAGACCCGCGTGCGCTTGTAGGTAAAAGTCATAGTCATAAACGGCCGTAACGCCTCTATCAACTATTGTGCCAGGCGCGGGATTTCCAAGTCTGTCGGCTTTATCGCTTTCGGTCGGATAGAAGCGAGTGTGATGACGTTTACCGACGATGATAATTGTAACCTTGGGCCTATAATCCGCCCTCATAACAACACAGGCTTCACGAATCTTCGGAAGCTCCGCATCAAGAACAGTCTTAAACTGACCTTCGCTGACACCATCGCGATATACGAGAATCGCTTCAGGTAGCCTGCCGCTATTCTTGTCCCTCCAGAGGGACAAGCGCTCGACCATCATCTCCCGTAGCTCAGTGATCATCTATTGGTTTGGGGCAGGATTAAGTCAGTAATCAATTACGACATTGTATTTGTTAAGAAACTTACCTCTTTTTTAGACTCTTGAAGCCTCAAGGAAGCCGGATATTGAGCATACTCCATATCGATACTGGCAACAACACCAGCGATGGACGGAGTACCCCTCAAACTACCCGGGGAAGGATGGGTAACGTCACACCCAACCTAAAATTATTAGTACCTTCCTGCGTAGAACATATATATATAGTTTGGGTAGAGGGGCTTACAATCATGGTTGTCTTTTGTGTCAAAAAGCCCATATCCGTCTTTCCAAGCCCATGGTTTCTACCATGAAGCTTCAAATTAAACTTCAATGCAAGATTGGCAAAATATTGCATCTGACCCTTTTGGTTCTGAATCTTGCTAGATTGGGCACAAACAGTTCCAACACCAAATCTCACATCACCCAGTGTCTTGATAAGAGCATAGTTTGCCTTATCTTGACTCGGAAGAATGACGAGGGCAATTTGAACTCCTCGCTTCTTTAACGCATCAAAGCAAGGTGTTAGTTTTGTAGCCAATTCCTGGCCCATTGCCATTTGAACGACTGAGATATCCCGATTAGTCAAAGGCGGAAGGACAACACCGCACTTTCGGCACATGCTTTGAAGGGCATTGCATAAACCCAGAGGATCCTGCACATTGCTTGATCCGTCCTTTAAAATAATTGCTGCCCAAGTTTTAGCTGAACCACTCTTGAGAAATCTAACATCCCTAAGGTTCCACGACGCATCGCTGGTTGTCTTTGGGCCGCCTGCATATTGTACAGGCGGTGCAGCCAGAATCCTCGCTGGAACCGTAACCATTTCAGTTGAGACGGATAAATTGAAAGGATTCTAAATAAAATCAGTATAAATTATAAAAATTATTGATAATACATACCAGTAGTTGGCTTGAAGGTTTGAGCCCAAGAATAGACAAACCCTCTCCCACAATTGATTCCGCATTTTGCCTGGGGCGACGACAAGCATACGTGATCATTTCACGTGTTTGCTCATCCAAAAGCTTTCCCTTAAAAGACTGTCCAGGCAGCACCGTAGCCAGCTCAGGTGGCAATAGGATCGACTTTTCTCTTGTTCCGACGTTAACACACGGAAAATCAGGATTCGCAAGAACAATATTGTATTCTAAAAGTGGTTAGAACTGTTACTCTAAAAATAAAATAATAAATATCTAATTAGTAGGAAGTACTTACTTTTCTTGAAATAAGCAGCAACAGTGATAGTTGAGCCATCATCAGAAACAAATGTAGCTTCCCTCGCAGATTTTCCAGTAAGGTTGGCAATCGTCTTATACTGAAGCTTCGGTTTGCCATTAGGGTCCGTGATATGTTTTGTGCTCACGCGCAAACCCCTCAGAAAACCACCAAGTTCAGAGCGCTTTCCAAATTCCCTCATCAATTCTGCAAGGTTTCCTTCTCTATTTGTAAAAGGTTTCAAATTAGCTCAAGATTACTAAGAAGAAAAAAATTCAGTATAACTCTTAATAAAAAAACCAACATACTTGTAGAAAGCTGTCATGCAAACATTAACATTGCAGAGGACACGGCCCATTGAGGGGCGAATCGAGGAATAGTACCCGCGAAGAGCTAGCAATCCGCGAGGTAGATGCTGCTGATTTTGGGGGTTTGGCTCCGAAACAAAAAACTTAGACTTTCCCAAAGGAATAACACCTGCATTCTGCGAAGGAGGCTTGGCCAAAATAATGTTTAGCGCCTGAATCGCAGGTGATGAATCAAAATCCGGATCCAATCCATTAACATAATCCTTGAGGCTATTTGGCTCAAGCAACTGTACTAATGTAATCGTAACAGCATAGACCTTAGACTTTTCATGCGGTCCCGCCTGGTCCGCATCAAAATAACGGACCTCCACCTGAAGCTTATCATCAGCAATCTCCAGCTTCCTTGCAGTAATAATCGTTTTGGCATAGTCAGTTGCCATAAGATCTCTTGTTGCACTGAAAGAAGTCAACTCTAAGAGCTCAAAAACACGTTTCCTGATCCTCCTGATCTTAGGGTCGGGTGACATTGCGACATCATATTTGAAAAGTGTCTGAGTAGGTAGAGCTACTGGAAAATAATTCGCTCGGACCAAGGTCGAAATTCCTTTTGTCCCGAAATTGGGACGAGGAGGCATAAGCGGCTCGTTGACTCTCGTCTTAACAGCGACAAGCTTGTTCTCCATCGCCGTAATTCTCGGATCGATAACCGCGGGGGAACCACTAGTATTAAAACAAATATTAGAACTAAACTGATAAATTCATGGATAGCAGATAGAGATAGACAAACCTTGAAAATATGGAATCTCCAAAATTCCCACCCCTCCCACCACCTCCGCCTCTCGGCCCTCCACGACCCCCTCCACGACCCCCTCCACCACCACCACCACGACCACGGTCATACCCACCACCCCTCCCACCTCCAAAGCCGCCAAACCCACCACCACCACCACCACCACCACCGCCGCCTCTCCCCCCGCCTCTCCCCCCACCACGCTGACCACTCATGATCCGAAAAGATGAGAGATGGTTCTTCCTTATTAGAAGCGAAAAACGTCTCAAAACGAGTAGCTTTGAGAAAAGAAATTTTGGAAAAGGTTAACTCTGAATGTAAATGGTTGAAAGGAGTAGAGTAGAGTCAAAGGCCCTACTCAAAGGTTCGTGGAGCTGGTTGGTTTCTTTTTTTTTTGAGAACACAAGTGTAAGAGGATGTTTAAGTAGGAGGGAGGGTTTGGCTGCAGCTTATATAGCGCTCACCATAAAAAATGCCAAGACGCACTGCACTGCCTTGGGGAGGGGGGAAGACGACAACGCTTTAGTAATTTTACGGGTCACCCGCCGAGAACAAGAGTGCGAGACAAGGCTATCGACCGGCTCTTCAGCACGGCCACCGAAGGAAATTGTTGTTATTGCTCTCTTCAGGTCTGAGGTCGAGGGTGAGGACAAGGAAGAGGGAGGATAGTGGAAATAAAAAAAAAGTCCGGGCACGGTTTGCGGGAACGCAGCACTTAACTCCCTGCACCGTTCTATCCTTTATGTACGAGTACCGTATAGTTGCAGCTACAGGGAGTTTTTCTCACTAGCAATTCTAACCTGTTCCCATCCCACACACACACATCATAATGGATTCCGATCTTCTGCGAGTGTCACAACAGTCTACCCTACGATAGCAATCTCGACATGTTCCCCCCCCCCTCCCCCTCCTGCTTTTTGCCCTTTCCTCACAGAACGAAGGGGAGGAGGGACCACAGTTAAAAGTACCCCAGCCAACACAGAAAAGTCTTGCTTGTGTCAAGAGAAGCAAAGAAAAGGCAAGTGTATGTTAGACCCATTCCCGAGCTCGCGTTTAATTCGCCCTCATGCAGCCCGCCAATTCTCGTCGCATCCGGAGCGTACTTGCGATGGGGGTGGGTGGGAGGTAGCTAGCTGTCGTGGAGCCAGAATTCTCCTTCCTTCCTGCAAGAAAGTAGGGAAAAAAGGACGCACAATTGAGTCATTACAAGTTAATATAAGTCATTACAAGGCTGGCAGCGCGAGCAGGGAATCAACAGGAAAGATGGAAGGAGGGAGGGGACAAACCGCTGAGCGGCGAAGGTGGTCGTCAAGTCGACTTACCTTTCCTGCACACGCTGTGCTCGAGTATGATACTATCCAGCCACCCTGCTCCCTAAACACTCTAAGCGAGCAGGTGTAGACCAATTTGCTC